AGGAACAGCCGCTCCGCAGCGCCGGGGAGCAAAAGCCTAAGCGCAGGATGGCTGCAGGGGCGGGCAGGCTGTTCAAAGCACCTCGGAAAGCTGTTTAAGGGAGGATCCTGGCTCATGGCAAGGTTGTAGAGGTGTCAGAGGGCAACAGAAAAGTCGCTGCGGGGGGGAAATAAAGTTTGTGTAGGGGAAGAGGGTCGAGAAAAGGGGTGTCAGACAGGTGTAGGGCCATCAGCTACTCCGGCATCCCCACAAGAGGCGGTGGGCAGCTCCCAGTGATGGATGAGCCCAGGGAGGAGTTACAGACCAGGAGCAAAACCTTTCCAGCAGGATTCAGGGCAGCCGCAGGGAGCTGGCAGGGGAAAAGTGTGTTAGAGGACCGCTTGTTTATTGTCTTGACGCAGAAGCGCAGCAGATCTGGGGCAGCGCGTGGTGTGTGCACCCCAAGCCTTCCCAGATACAGCTTAAAAGCAGCAGCTCTCTGGGCATCCCTCTAATGTCAGCTACAAATAAGCAGTAAGAGAGGCAAAAGGCTGAGGGCTGTGCCTCACCGATGGCAGGATGTGGAAAGCAATGGGGAGACATCAGTAACACCCCAAATGTGCTCTAGTCCGGAGCTGTCTCCTCACCCAGACACACAAACACCCAAGCATCATCTCTCCCACCCCGTGGGCTTCAGTGGCACCCCGCTTCAATCACAACCACGGCAGTCGCCACCGAAAGCGGTCGCAGATTAAAAATAAGCGCAGTGAGAGCAGGGGGTATGGTGTATCCTGCCCAGCTTGCACTGGCAGGGTAGGAAGGCAGGAACCAGAGGAGCAGGTTTCAGCGGTCAGCACTCACACTCGCCCATTTAGGAGACACACCGGAGAGGAGGGTTAGATGCTGAAGCAATGTCTGTTAGTTATAGCTTGTTACAGTTATTATTTATGCATCTTATTGTAAATGCAAAAGGTGAAGTCACTTAATTCATCATTTCTCAGACATGGATGACAGAGCACGTGATTTGGCATAGTAAGTTTTAGGCTAGCTATAAATGAATTGCACAATATTTAAACCTGATTAAGTACATAATAGGCTCAGCAAAGGATTACTTTTCTCCTTACGTTTTATACATATATATATACACACACACAGACAGGCATTTTACCATTAGCTGCATTTTAGTCTTGTCAAGAGACGACTGCCTACTGCAGAATGACTGAAGTGATACCCTTATAAAAGGAACTATTCATGGTGGGCTTTGCTGGAAAAGAGAGGTTCCTCTTTGGGGTGATTCTCGTGGGTAGGAGTCACAGACAAGTATCACTGGAGAGTGAGAGGAGACCGGGGGGTGAGGGGTTGGGGACGCGCACAGCTCTGGCTTGCTGTGGGCATGAGCGGTGGCACGCTGAGCTTGTGTCCTGCAGCAGGCAGGAGATATTTGAGCCAAGGGTCCGGATCGGATTCTGTTTGTGCTGCTTTTCTAGGCCTTGGAGAAAATTTGGCTTATTTAAAGTGCATTTAGAGTCTGAAAAGCATCTCTGGGCA